AAAGGGGGCAGACTGAGGGCAGCAGATTCAGCAGGGCTACCAAGGCACTGCAAAACTCTAGTTTTTTGGCAGACAACTTATAATCAGCTGGCCGGAGCACTGCATCTAATTCCTATATAAACAAAAGAAATGTAAATAAAAATTAGACCCACTCAGAGCTCTAATACTAACAGAGCTGACAGTGGTTAGCCTGGAAATGTCAATGTATATTCTTTGTTCCTAACTCTGCTCCACCAGGACTCTGGGCTCTCTCTCAGCTCTGGGAGGAGAGTGCAACTTATAATCAGCTGGCCGGAGCACTGCATCTAATTCCTATATAAACAAAAGAAATGTAAATAAAAATTAGACCCACTCAGAGCTCTAATACTAACAGAGCTGACAGTGGTTAGCCTGGAAATGTCAATGTATATTCTTTGTTCCTAACTCTGCTCCACCAGGACTCTGGGCTCTCTCTCAGCTCTGGGAGGAGAGTGGGGTTACAGTGGGGGTGGGGGAGATACATTTGGGCTCTATATAAGAACATCAGAATGGCCACAATGGGTCAGGCCACAGGTCCTTCTAGCCCAGAGTCCTGTCCTTCAGGAGGCATCGTCACGATCCATCCCGTCACCCATTCCCAGCTTCTGGCACAGAGAAGCCAGGGCCACCATCCCTGCCCAGCCTGGCTAGTCACCATTGGTGGACCTGCCCTCCCTGAACTTCCTGGCTATGTCTAGACGGGCAGGATTTTCCGCAAATGCTTTTAACGGAAAAGTTTTCTGTTAAAAGCATTTTCAGAACAGAGTGTCTAGACTGGCAGGACGCTTTTGTACAAAAGCACTTTTTGCAGAAAAGCGTCCGTGCCGATCTAGACGCGCTTTTGCGCAAAAAACCCCGATCGCCATTTTTGCGATCAGGGCTTTTTTGCGCAAAACAAATCTGAGCTGCCTACACTGGCCCTTTTGCCCGAGCGGGAGCAGCCCGGTATTTCCGCAGGAAGCGCTGGTTTCTTACGAGATCGTCAGCGTTCTTGCGGCCAGTCTAGACACAGCCACTTTGTTCTTATTGGACACTGGTAGAGTTTGGGCCTTTCCACCATCTCCTGGCAGAGAGTTCCACAGGTTGACAGTGAGGAATAATGCCTGGTGTGTGTTTTATATTTGCTGTCTATAAATGTCATTGGCTGAGCTTCTGGTGTTATGTTAGTGAAGGAATCAATGACATTTCCTTGTTCCATGTGCCCACCCCAGGCAGGAGTTGCTAGACCCCCAGCCTGTCCCCTCACCCTTTAGTCTCTTTTCCATGCTGAAGAGTCCCAGTGTTGTTAATCTCGCCTCACGTGGAAGCTGTTCCTACCCCTAATCATTTCGGTGCCCCTCTCTGTCTGTTTCCAAATCCAATAAAGCTTTTTAAGATGAGGTGACCAGATGTGCAGGCAGTATTCAAAGTATGGGCGCACCATGACTTTAGGTAGAGGCACTATTATAATTTCTATCTATTCCTTTCCTAATGATTCCCACTATTCCGTTACCTTTTTATATTGTCACTGCACATTAAACCCTGGAATAAATTGCTTACGGAGATTATGGAATTTCCAGCACTGGAGATATTTAAGAGCAGGTTACGTACACATCTGTCAGGGATGGTCTAGAACAGGGGGTTACAATGATACTCACAGCACATGCAGAGAACCGCAACTTAAGTGTGGTTGTATAAACAGGCAAATATATATGCAAATATATGCAAATAGCTTATTTCACACTGACAGGCATGAATACCAAGATTAAGGCAAGACTACACAACTCACAGGCCCCATTTAAGTCAGTTCTGCCGATATAAATAAAATGCAACATTTACCCAAGTTCCACCCATATAACAGCACTTTTAAGGAGCAATGACAGTCCAGGAATTTAATGACTAAAACCCATATTGACAGAAGACCATTATATTGATAACTTTTTTGTTTTGGCTCCCACCCGCAGGCTGTGTGTTGAGCCTGGCAGAAACCCAAACTGCACTGCAGGCTGCAAACAAAGGGATTACGGCCTGCAGGCAGCGTGTTAAGTAGCCCTGGTCTAGATGGTGCTTGGTCCTGCCGTGCAGTCAGGAGACTGGCCTTGATGACCTCTCGGGTCCCTTCCGGTTCTTAGTGTTCTATGGTGCTATGACCGAGCAGATGTTTCCAGAGAACTATCCACAATGATTCCAAGATCTCTGGTTTGAGTGGTAACAGCTAGTTTAGACCCCAGCATTTTTGTATGTGTAGTTGGGTTTATATTTGTCCATGTGCATTACTTTGCAGTTTACCAAAACTGAATTCCATCTGCCCTTGCATTGCCCAATCACCCAGTTTTGTGAGATCCCTTTGTAAACTCTTTGCAGTCAGCTTTGGATTTAATTTTGCCACCTCATTGTTTACCGCTTTTTTGAGAAGTTTAACAGCAGGGGTTCAAATGCAGATCTTTGTTCCTATCTTTTAAGTGGAGTACCTGGCAATGTTTTCATGATGCTCTAACAATCCTTCAATTACTTCAGTAACAAATCCTTTCGTTATCTTACTCACTCTGCCTTCTCCAAAGGCAAAGCTGGAAGCAGCATAAACTCCCTTGCAGTTAAGAACTACCTCTAGAGCCCTGGTCACCAACAGGTCGATCGCGATTGATTGGTTGATCGCAAGGCCTTGACTAGTCGATCGCGAAGCGTCTGCCCCTCCCCCATTTTCCACCCACCCCCGAGAAGCCCCAGTACTTACCTCCAGCGAAAATGGAGGTAGTGCCAGCTTCCCACGGGTGGACGGAAGACCCGCAGCTTAATGCCACTTCCGGGAGTTCCAGAAGTTCGCTGGCTGCTTTGTCAGGCGCGCTATGGGAGGGGCCCTGGCTCCAGAAGAGGAGCATGGTGACTTTCCTGCACCGGTGCAGGAGGCAGGAGTTGTCCCCAGGGCAGGCGCGTGCGGGGTTTCCCTGCGCCACGGGGGGGGGTGTGTGTTTTAGCCTGGGGCAGGCACGTGCGGGGGTTTCGGCTCCGGGGCAGGTGCACGGGGGGGAAGGATTGCCCCCGAGAGGTCACCTGAGTGGGCTTCCCTGGTCGTTGCGGGGGATCAGGCCCAGCAGAGGCACGCAATGGGGCTTCCTTCTTTCGCGGGTTGGCCCCAGAGGGCGCGCAGGACAGAGGCTTCCCTCCATGGCTGGTGTAGGGGACTTCTTGCCCCCGAACCTTGTTCCCTCTCCCCTGCCCCAAACCTGTCCCTCACCCTCCTGCCCCCCTGTTCTCTCCCCTGCCTCCCCCCC